GTAGATGTCTATGGACCACAGCAACCACTTATCATCAGGTGGACTGTGTGCTCATTTGTCACCCTTATGTTTTAAAAAAATTAAAAATGAAATATAATTATAATTATAAAGTGTAATTAAATCTACTGACATCTACGTCCTCAGAGGTGACAACACATCTGTGGCTTTCTTTGTTTGAAGTTGGCTGTTGGAGTCCATAGAATGCAGTAGCCATAAGTGGCTACTGCATTATAGCCTTATGGCCTACTAGCCATAAGTGTAAGCCATCGGGTGAACTGAAAGTTCTTTTGTTACTACAGCTACAAAAATATCGAAGTCAACTTGAATGTAATCTTGTTCTGTTCCACTAACGTAACATCGAAAATGCTATTCCAAGCTTAGACCTAAGTGAATTGTGATTCAAAAACAACGCGCCTGTCCTGTCGCATGTGTTTTCTTGATTAATGTGTCCACGGGAGTTGGCTTCGTACCAAGAATGCCCGTTGCTACTAAACTAAAGTTTTTAGAATAATTTCCAATTCCGTTCAAACGCTGCATTCAGATTTACAGTACCTCAAACAGATGGAACTCTGCATATTTGACTTACCTCCTTATCAAAATTCACGATTAAAGTTAAAAAAGTAAAGTTACAGCCTATTTACGTCCCACTACTGGGCACAGGCCTCAACTCATTTCTGAGAGGGTCTTAGGGCAAGTAAATGTCCCCCGCGCTACCCCAATGCGTATTGGCGAACTTCACATGTCTTCGAAAAAATTTTTTTTCTTATTTCTTAGACCTGCAGATTTCCTCACGATGTTTACCTTCACCGCCGAGCACGTGGTAAATCAGCACTTAAAATTGCAATTAACGATTTCATTGGTGCCGGCGGGGATCAAACCCGGGTTGCTAGAGTACTGTGAAGCTTACAGCGAGCGCTAACCATCTAAGCTACCACGGCTCGATTAAACTCACGATTGATATAAATAAAATGAACAGTAGTACCAGAGTAATCCAACGGCTCAGTAAGCTGTAGTGGCTATGGGCTGACCATATAGCTAGAAGAATCGAACAATGGTGAGGAAAAGTTCGTCTTGAGTGTACTGCTCATTTAGAACAAAACAAAACAGTGTGAGACAGGTTGTAAGTGTGAAGTGTGTTACTACTAGGTGATTATGAAACGGATAATAATGACTATATTACTACACCGAATGCTGTGATTTGGAGAAACTTCACACTGGTTTTTACATTTTAATTGTTGACATCAATATTTGACCGTAAAAAATTTGGTTGAATGCGGCCCCATTCATACAAAATCCACCCGTATTCAACGTACATAAAACTTAATGTATCGTAAGCTGTTGAGAGTCTATTGTGAACGTTATTATGCTATCAGCGCTATATAAAGGAGGAAAAAGTTGTCCCAGCGATTTCTTTTGCGTCGTGGAGACTTTTCTTTTTTCATTATACTTTTATTATTTTATTGAGAACCAAATTTTCAACCAACCAAATTATAATATTATGTAATATTATGCTATTTGTTAACAAAACAAATGTTTAATATTAAATATATTATTTATTTACTTACATAATATTGAAACGTTCAAAATGTATAATAAAATTACTAAAACTAAAAGCTTAAATTATCATACAGTCCTACTCCTCGTCGTATCGTGCTAAGAATACGGGCTGCGTTTCCTCGCTGAATGGCCTTTGAGCGAGAAAACTCTCATCTCTCTCTTATAAGCAGCAGCGATGACAAATGTCAAATAGTCATACAGTGCACTCCCCACGGTATAGTACTTATGCACATTATCAGGTACATCATAAGATACTAAGAATAGGTAATTAAAATATACAAGATAATAAGAATAAATTATTTTAGTCTTATTTTAAGTCAGCAAACTGATGATGATTTCAAAGTATACACAATCCACAGTATAATGATAGTAACCGACACACCGCAACGGATCAATAAGCTGAAGTTGCATTTTCCGCTCATATAGCTCGAATAACCAACAAATTTGTCCTCACTAAATTTTGTCAGTCCATACATAAGAATGCCCATAAGCATTACGGAATTAGAAATGTCTGGACTATTGATGGTGCAATCTATGTAAAGCACTTGGGAGGCCGAACGAAGATTTCCACTGAGGAGGAATTGGAAGATCTAATATCCAAGTACCCCATGGATGGTTCCCCTGAGAGTTCTAACAAGGATCACTAATACAAAGATCACTGCAACGCAGCAGGGCTCTTCGAATCGGCAGAATGATGCAGCACGTCGCACTCAAACTTCAGCGGTAACTCACATTGATGACGTAAAGAAATCTAGACGACTGTTAAGCAAGAAGTAATTCCTACATTGCTTTTAACGTTATAAGGCATCCTTCATGCCAAGCGGTGATTATGGGTAGCTCAAGGATGCTTGCAAAAATAGATGCCGCTAGCCTACCTCCCGTCTATTATAATGATCGCCTGATACCGTTCTCTTCCTCAGTTAAAAATCTTGGTCTCCATATTGATAGTAATCTGTCCTTGAGGGTACATATCTCCGAAAGATGTCGTAAAGTCTCCGGTTCTTTACGTTCTCTTTATCGCTTGAAAATTTTTCTCCCCTTTAAGGCTAAAATTATGCTTGTACAGTTACTTATACTACCGATCATTGATTATGCTGACGTTTGCTACTCGCATTTAAACCGAAATCTTCTTAACAAGCTAGAGCGCCTACTCAACAATTGCGTCAGATACATTTTCAATCTCGTAAATTTGATCATATCTCTCACTGTCGCTCTCGTTTTAAATGGCTCACTATTAAACAGAGGCGTGACTAATAGAATTTTGCTTGTTCTCTTCTCTATCTTAAATGATCCATCCACTCCTTCTTATCTCAAGGAGAAATTTGATTATATATTCTCAACGCATGATAGAACTCTCCGGTCCTCATATAATAATAAACTAAGTATCCCACTACATTTTACTAATTTTGTTAGTAAATCCTTAATTATTCAGGCTGCACTGCTCTGGAACTCCTTGCCCGATGACGTTAGAAAAACATCTAAAAAGACTGCCTTTAAAAGATTGGTACATAAGCACTTTAATGATAGTTAATATGGTCAATTTGGTTACCTTTGTTGTTATTTTATTTATTGGTTTATGTTTGTTTGCTTATTTGCTCAACAATTCATCAGCATATTTTCAAGGTCTGTCGCAGCAAGAACTATTTGAAGCGATAGTTTGCGCAGCTGTCTTGCCTCACAAAGTGATTGGTAAAGGTTTATTTTAAATAAAAACATTTTAATTTTCACTATGTATTTTTAGTCCACTAAAGACGGCTCTTACGTTTTTATTAAAAGTCATTTTTAACCCTTTTGAGTTGGCTACGAAATACCGCAATAATTACAGCGTCTAAATATTTACTTTTAAACATTTTGTCCCCATATTTTGTCAATAAATTTAGATTCCTTTTGCTACAAACATATGCGGGGCCAGCCTTAAAGCATAATTTATTTAATTAAAAATATAATCATGAATATCAGCTCACAATTGACGAAGACATACAAAAAAAAACAATCGAATTGTAAACCTCCTTCTTTTTGAAAGTCAGCTAAATGTTAAACGAAATGAATTTATAAAATTATATTAACAACATAATATTTTTTTTTCATAAAATTATAACTTAGAATAAGATGAGAGAAAATTTTAATTAAATCGACTGTAGAAAGTTCAGCGTGTAATTAAATTCCTTGATCAATTTCTCAGCAAATGTCGACTACGTTTCTTTGTAAAGGAGTAAGTACTGTCTCTAAACTAAGTCATGAATTACACAAAATGCTTTGAGAAAATTAAAAAAAAAGAACAAATGAAAAGGATTAAATGAAACTAATAAAAAATAAAAAAACGGCAAGAATATTTTTATAGCTTTGGATTTTTTACTATTATACGGGCAGTATATGATATACTTGTTTATTGGTTTGTAATCGCGATCTCAAAAAAGGTTCTAAGAATTTCATTTACATTTTCAATGTGATTGTATATGGGGAAGAAAAATCGATCTAACCAGGTCTCATGTCTCATGTTTCGCACTAAGCAAAACCTTGCCTGACCGCATAATATCAATAGCTCAATCGCTAGAGCGTAGGTCTACAATTCTGGAGTGCGCGAGTTCGAATTCTGCAATGTGGTCAGATTTTTTGTTGTTTAATATTTAAGGCCCACAGTTGGGCATAAATAAATTATTATAGACTATTAAAATGTTTTGTTCATGGAGATAGAAAGTAGGAATTAATATATAATGTGTTAATTTTACACTTGATCAAACGAAATGTGCGGATACTAGATAAAAAATTATCGGTAAAAAATCGAAAAAAAATTTTTTTATGTAAACTGTTTAAAAAATAAAAGCATTTCAATTTTTTTTTTGTTAAAATTCCCATCCTTCGGTTTTAAATTATTTTCTCTTTAAGTAAGCGGTGTATTTTTTTCAAAGTAGTTTTATTTGAAAGTTAGAAAGATTAACTAGCAACAAATATTAAAAAAACCTACGATATCAAGCAGGAAATTTGTCAAAAAAATAATAAGATAAATTTTTTTGTTAAAAAAGTACTTTACTTTTTAATTTTTGGTCTGTGACTTCAAAACTAGTACGTTGAGATAACCTTTTTAGGATGTTTTATTAAACTACGTAGCTTACTGTACAAGTTCTCTAAAATAACATGCGTTCTATCTCTTTTCATTTTTAAAATAATAATCATCAAAGAATGCCATCGGTATGTTGATTTGCGCTTATGCGCCGCACCTACCTCTAATTTGAATACCCCTGGTCGAACAATAGCAGGTAAAGATAAAAAGAGATAGATCAATGAAAGGCGAAACAAGTGAGTGAGAGAGTGAATTGTCGTTTGAATGAAATTTGGGTCTCGTTCTCGTAAGGCATGCAGGCAGCTTTAGCTATTTTAAACAGTTCATCTTGTAACGTTACCTAATTTGCACGTTGAATACGCTCATCATTTTTTTCGTCGTTATGCCTTCTACGATAGACTCATTGTCTGCTCATGAAGTAGCTGACATTCATTACATTTACGGGTTTTGTGATGGCAACGCTCGCGCCGCCTCTCGAGAGTATCATCAGCGATTACCGACAAGACCTGCCGTTGACTACAGGGTTTTCTTAGCAGTACATCGAGAATTAAGTGAAAATGGACTGCATCGCCCACATCGTGAACGTGCTTCTACTGTACCGGTGGATGTGGATGAACAAGTGTTGCGTTTGGTGTACCAAGACCCCACAATTAGTACTCGACGAATAGCACTCCAATTGGGGATTAATCACGTCCAAGTGTGGAAAATTTTGAAAAAGGAATGTTTGTACCCTTTTCATTTTCGAAGAGTGCAGAATTTGCACGAGCCAGATTACGCCGGAAGAAGTGTTTTCTGTTCGTGGCTATTGCGGCAAAGACGATTAGTCCCGAACTTCTGTGACCGTATTTTGTGGACCGATGAGGCAAATTTTAACAGAACTGGAATCACAAATTTTCGAAACCTTCACTTGTGGATGCCGGAGGAAAAAAATCCCTTAGCAGTTCGGCCAGCGTCCTTTCAAATCGAATTTTCGATTAATGTTTGGGCTGGAATGATAAGTGATTACTTAATCGGACCATTTATTCTTCCGTCAAGGTTGACAGGCCCAGCTTACCTAACATTTCTACAATAAGAGTTACCTGACCTGATGAGTGATGTGGATCTACAAACAAAGAGGAGGATGTGGTTTCAGCATGACGGCGCTCCAGCTCACTTCAGCACCATCGTGCGTGATTATTTAAACGAACTATACGGAGACAGATGGATTGGACGAGGCGGACCAGTAGCGTGGCCGGCACGAAGCCCTGATATGACCCCCCTAGATTTTTTTTTGTGGGGCCACATGAAATAGATTGTGTACAGTACTCCAATTAGTACAAGAGAAGAATTGTTACAAAAAATAATGGCAGCGGCTAGTCAAATAAAAGAAAATCGTACTGTATTAAAAAAAAACAGTACGCAGTGTGGAATTACGTGCAACTGTATGTATGGATGAAAATGGTGGTCATTTTGAAAATTTAATAAATTAAATCATTTTTCTACGGTTTCTTTTGTTTTATTCCATAATTTTGACAATTAAATCATTATTAAATCACTTTTGAATTTTGTGCTCAGATTAACTATCTTATTTTTAGTGATTATCTTAACAAGGAAAAGAGATAGAACGCATGTTATTTTAGAGAACTTGTACAGTAAGCTACGTTGTTTAATAAAACATGTTAAAAAGGTTATCTCAACGTACTAGTTTTGAAGTTACAGACCAAAAATTAATAAGAAAAGTATTTTTTTAACAAAAAAAATTTTCTTATTATTTTTTTGACAAATTTCCTGCTTGATATCGTAGGTTTTTTTAATTTTTATTGCTAGTTAATCTTTCTAACTTTCAAATAAAACTACTTTGAAAAAAATACACCGTTTACTTAAAGAGAAAATAATTTAAAACCGAAGGATGGGAATTTTAACAAAAACAAAATTCAAATGCTTTTATTTTTTAAATAGTTTACATAAAAAAAAAATTTTTTCGATTTTTTACCGATAATTTTTTATCTAGTATCCGCACATTTCGTTTGATCAAGTGTAAAATTAACACATTGGCGTGTACTAACACGTCCCATATATTAATTCGGGTAAAGGAGTATTTCTCTGCCGAGAAGTCTGTCTATGTAGGTACCACCCTCCTTTCCATTTTTGCCTTCAATATAACTAATGACTTCAATATAAATAAGAAAGAAAGAGACAAACATCAATGTAGTCAAAGTCAATTAAATACGTATTATTAAGGATAACTTAAAAACTACTGGTCAGATCTTGATCAAATTTATATGGGACATGAGAAGCACCAGCTTTCAAATAAAACAAGAATTATAATGATTTCTTATATTTACGTGAACATTACACCATGTCCCAAGCAGGTACTACCACCTGCTTGAGATCCTGTAATTAATAAAATTAAAACTAAACTCAGGCATACTACCACTGCAAGACTTCAAGACACAGTAAGTTCATTCTGCGTAGATCGGACCAAAACTAATTATTAAAACAGCTGAAGGTACTCCGGGTTAACTCTGACATCGGGACATCAGTCACCTTAGTCCCTAGTGACTATGGGTACTGTAAAGCACACGAAACTTCGGGAATTTAAAAATAAGTTAATTAAACGCGATAGAATCCGTAAAAGTAGTTTTATTCAATAAAACAAGAATCACCAAAAACGGTTCACCTAGAAAAATGTTCTAAGGACACACACATTAAAAAATACAGTCGAATTGAGTACCTCTCCCTTTTTTGCAGTCGGTAAAAAAAAACCAATGTCACCAGGTATTCTGACAACACAATCATACCCCAAATATAGCGTTGTTGAAAACATATTTCAGACGAGCAAGATTAATGCTGCGTCGGCCAAACGAAGACGTATAACACTTGCCTTGAATTATGGACGTCATTTGTAACACGGGAAGATCGTCCACCTAAGTGTTCGTGAAATTGAGATATTTCCGTTGAGGTCTAAAATTATTGCTTGAATCATAAAACTCAAGATATAAAATGCTTCGCCAGGAGAGATCTATTAATGTGGCGTTATTTAGATATAAGATAACCAAATACTATTTATTTCGATCATTATTTTCGGATAATATATAACCTTAATCTCTAATAACATTGCTTTCTATCTGTTCGTGAAGTTTTATGACAATCGGTTCAGCCATTCTTAAGATTAGCCCAAACAAATAGACAGACAATTTTTTTACAAATTTCAGTCATGTCTTGATGCTGTGGTAGGTAGAAGGAAAAGGGGAGATCTCCCGCCGGGCAAGGTGTTCTGCCCGGGGAGCGGCCAACGCTCCGATTGGTAGTTCGGAGCTATTCTATATATGCTACTTTAACTTCAGAACTTTGCTAGTGCGATTTAGGCTTCGATGTGTTTCGCTTGTGGCGTGACGACAGCGCCGCCACAATGCCATATAACCAACCCTCTGAGCTTGATGAAATGCAGTTATTTTTATGTTACAGACATCCACAGCAATATAATTCATATGGCGTATAGGCGTATAGATTTAAGTCTTTACGATAAATTTTGATTTGGCACCGTGTAATGGCGGCGTAAGAGAATCCACAGTCCTTTATCATTCCGTGTGGTCACCCCCCAGCTCTCATGACCCCAATGAACTTAAAGTCATAGGGGTAGTGGGTTGACTTACTAAAAGGCCATAGAAATACGAGATATAAGAGTATGGTGTTCTTAATAGAATAAGAGTGACAAAAGAGCATGCAGTTCGCTAGATGGTAAGTGGATGCTGTGGCCCATAGACATCTAAGTCTATTCTGGATTAGGAATCAAAATGCAGCTGCGTTGTCAGCCGTGAGGACTAAGGTGGAATGCCTCTTTTCAAGTAAAAAGGGACTCCGATATCCGATCCGATATATATATTCTGTGAGAGTGTAGTCTACTTTCATGCTGCTCCTATAATATAGCTGTAGTGTGGCTCTACCACGTGTAAATAACTCAACACTAGACAATTTCAAAAGAACGTCACTATCCATGATTTTTGATCTTTCTTTCAAATGACTTTTCTTCACATAACGGTTTGTTACTGATGGAGAGCAAAAAAAAAAACTCACATCTTAGTTAAAATTACATATTTCATTCATTTTAAATATATAGAATTTTATTACCTAACATATATGATATATTTCTATAGTATTAATTCATTCAATGTTATGGATCATCTCAGTTACTTTATAGCTGTACCCTGCAAGTGGTGTATTGATATTGACTTCATAAAGGGCACCGTTATTATTTTATTTGCCGTGATATCATAAACTCATAAATTGGCTTCTAGAGAATTTTTTATTACTGTTTCTTTTTAATAAAACTGAAATAATATACGAACTTACAATCTATCTGATTGTAAGCGGCTACTGCAGTTAATGGACACCTGCAGCTAACTGCAAACAAGGAAGGCTACAGAAGCGTTGTCATGTCTGAGGAGTTAGTATAATTCCTCACAGCCTGTTCACTCATACTGGCACTATACACCATTTAAATCAGAATACAGCACTGCTTTTTGACGGCAAAGATATGTTAGCAGGTATTACTTATCCAGAAGAACTTCTAGGCAGGAGAGTCGTCCTAGCACGTAGGAAAAAAACCATAATTTAAATTTTAATATTAAACCATATTTTGTATTTATTAGGCAAATAGCCAACATGATGCTAATCTTCACTTTGTAAAATGTGATTTCATTTCAAATTGCACAATGCTCGAGTAATTTTCGGTCAACTGTATTTTGTAAATTTATGGGACTATTAATTAGGTAAAGTTGTCCAAATAATGTGCAGTTTGTGCTCATTGGGGGTTAATTGTAATGAATTGATGAAATATCGTTTAATCTAAAGATACAATCAAAATTCTGTGATTTTTCTTGTCAAATTCAATGAAACGGAGTACTTATGGGATTACATCGGTGTCTGTCTGTTACAGTGGTTTTTCTCTGCTAGTGTTTGACGTACATGTTTACTCATTACATAGGTAATAAATGCTACAATACATATTTGAGTTTCAAACTGTCGTTAATACTTTCGTAATAAATCGTTGTCGTTAGTGAGGTAAAACTTTGAATTAGTTTCAATATCTCCATTTTCCTTTTTTTTATATAGAATAAGGGTGACAAACGAGCACACAGACCATCTTATCACAAGTGGTTGCTGTGGCCCATAGACATCTACATCTATCTTCGTTTGCGAATTGGAATGCAGATACATTGTCAGCTGTGAGGACTAAGTTAGAATGCCTCTTTTCCAGTAAAATAGGTCCTTAATGTGAATTGAGGGGCTAGGTTTTAGTTTTACTGACACAAATAATTTCAGTTAAAGAAACTTACATGGACAGGTACGAGTAACGTTTCCTTTAAGAAAATTTCTACATAAGCTCATCTCACTTAAACAGCGACACTTTATAAGATAGAATGTGGTTTAGAGAACTAAAATGGCAGTAAACCAGTTATATAACACATTTATACGTAGAAGAGATACGCTGCAACTATAGTATGATAGTAGAATGGGTCCACTGTACCGGGAAAGGACCACGCTGTTACAGAATATCAGCGCAAAATTTCCGTTCTTTCAGTTAAAGTTTTGCCGTCTGGGTGGGTACCCTTCTCATATCTAATACTGTCCCTAAGCTGAACTGCAGACACTGCTGTGTTTCAGTCTAAAAGGCACAAAAACCTTGACAACGCATCTGTAGCCTCTTTTACTTGATGCTGGTTGAAAGAAGCAATGGGCTGCAGTGACCCATTTAAAAAAAGCATGAGTAGAATAATAACTAACATCGATGTGCCGTGTAGTGGCGGTCAAGAATATCCACTACCCCATATCCTCCCGTGGGTGTCGTAAAAGGCGACAAAGGGAAACAGGCAGGAGATGGGCAGCAGTATTTTCCTGATAATAGCCAAAATTACAATAAAAAACTGCGGTTGCCAACCCGCTCGCCAAGCGTGGCAACTATGGCAAATACCCCCCTATTATTGTAACAAAGAGACGGCCCCCAGTCCCCGTCGGCCCCGCTATTCCTGGCTACGGTGGCGACCATGGTAACGGCGGGGCAGGGGGTGCTAAGAATCTCCGGTGGAGGTT